TTTTTTTTACAAAATCCATTAACTGATTAAGTTATATGAACTGTTTTTACCATGAGTGCAATTTTAGATAGACGCAAAAGCTATGGGTAGCCGTCTAGTATATTTTGTAATTTTTTCTTCATTAGCTATAAAATGTAATATACATACATTTTAGACATGATATTTAATATTTTTTTCTTCATTGTCTTTTATAAATAAAGCCTAATTAAAGATTTTGGATATTTCAGTGGATCCTAAAATTTGGAAACTTAATACTACCTTTTCTATTTTTCTCTAATTCACAAGACATGCCCATTATACATAATGAAAATGAAAGTATGATAAAACATAAAGTAATTATAATATGACAATACTAAAATAAAAAAAATAATAATAATAATGAAATGCAACAGTATAATAAAATTTAAGTGAATCTTAATGTCATACTGAATAACAATTTCATTTGAAAAACATTTAGATGACATATAAATTAGTGGTATACCTTAATATGCAACAATTTGTGATTGAAAAGGACCAACAATTTAGGTGATGCTCCAAAATGCGACTATGCATACTCTTGTCATAAATAAATTAATATTTGTAGATGATGAAGAATAATGGGATGAGATTAATATAAATTATATAAATAAAAAATAATTGTATAAGACGAAGAGAAAATGAAAGAGTTGGAGACAACTTATATATAATAAAGAAGATAGGTGTGTGGTTGTAATGTGGTTTAAATAAAAGTTATAATATTACATTTATATCCTTCAAACAAAAGTTACATTTTTTTTCTTAAGGATATTATTGGCAATTCAAGTTTCTATTTAAATGTGGTTGGATGAGTTACAAATCATCATTACAAACTCTAATTTCAAATTACAAATTACATTTATGTCCTTTAAAGTAACATCTTTTGAGGGTAATATGGGTAATTCAAAATTTTCAAGAAACAACTCATCCTTTTGAGATAGTTATAGATATAGATAGCTAATGCAATTTTCATTTTCAAACTAGTAATGTTACCTGTGCATTGAGGAAATCATTCAAAAATTGTCAAAAGACAATGCATAAACTAATATTGTTTATAAAACAAATACCAATTTAAAAAGTCATTGTTTTGTTGTCTACAAATAAATTAATATTTTCAGTCACTTTCTATTCTATCTATAAAGCATATACCTATTTTAAAAAGATTTTCTTTTCATAAAATATGTAATCTTAAATATTAAATAAATATTTCATATCTGAAATCATCTCATTTGCGAAGTATTTATTAAAATTTTTCTTACTATTATTATAACTTAAACTGAGTACTTTATGTATGTATTCTGTTGAACATATTTTATTTAAACTTATAATCATCAATGAAGACACCAACATACTATTTTCAAGTACTCAAAAATAACCAATCCCAAAATAAATAATAAAAAAAGACGCCCATACGGAGCTTGTAAATGATGAAGAGCTCTTTATTCAGTCGATGGTGCTCACAAATTTTAGATATCGTCAAATGATTGTCCAGAACTTTGTTGTTATATACATACATCTGGAATTCTAACACATAAGAGGGTTTCAGTTCCTCCTTTTACAAACTTACATCATATGGAGTACATCAATTTCCCTTATTTTCCAGCCTATCATCCAATCAAATTCTAGAAATGAATACAATATATATTTTCAATTTTAAAATCTTATCCCTTCAATTTCCTATTGCAATTGTTTTAATGGTTTGAATTCGTAGCTCATATTCATGAACATAAAACAAACACCATTTTAACTTGTAAAATAAAAATGACACTTAGTAAACTAAACATGGGAAGCTGCTTAAAAGTTTATTTGTAATATCACATATAAATATTTTTCATAACAAAGTGGTATAAAAGTTTAAGATTTAAACCCATGGTTTTGAAACCCATAAATACCTGCTATTTTCTTTGCCTGTATTTTTTTATTATGTGCTGTATTGTTCTGGCTTATTTTTCCAATTTGTCAGATTCATACTATAATAGATTTATCATGAACTTAAAAAATTAAAATTTCTAATTATATAGATTTATGATTAACATAAAAATTAAAATGTATTATTATTTTGTATGTGATTTAGAAAGAAAAAGAATGGTATCATTAAATCTTTTATAAATTTAAATTTTATATTATTGATATATAAATTCTTTATTGAAATTTATGTAGAGCAAAAGCCATTACTTAAAAAAAATGTAAACTTAAGGATTGAGTTGCAGTATCTTTCCTTATGTAGATCATACATTTGACAAGTATTCAACAATTCCTATTTTTGGCATCTAAAAATTATATCTTTTGTCCATATATATTATGATCATATCATATGATTGTTGTTATGCCCTATTTTCTTTATTTTTTTTTATTATATTTCTTTTAGTTGTAGTACTATTTTTTTATTGTATCACCAGGAAATTGACAAAAGATCAACCTAGTTGCAGATTCATCATATTAAAGACAACTTATATGCATATTATTTAATTGTGTTTTATACACTGCTTATTTATGCTTTGTATATATTTTTTATAATTAATGTTGATGGATAGTTAGAGCTGACTCTCATAATTCTTATGCACAAAATACGTATAGTCAATTTTAAGCAATTAACTGCATAATTGAGTGGAAGCAAAAGATTACAAAAGTTGACGGTTGGCTTAAAATGCATGACTGAGACGAATATGAAAGGATAAAAAAACTGGTTGTCCATGTGTCTTGCAACTAAAGGTCTTTCTATAAATGGAAAGTATATTGCGGACCCACCATTAAAACTTACCAAAAATGGTAAGAGTTGCCTAATTATATAGCCATCACGGATTCACGGATGTGTTTTACTGGTAATGTGCAACCTACCTTCAATATGGCTATTTTCTTCATTTCTTTGAAGAAATTTGGCAATGTCAGAGTCCTGAATAATAGCTCAACCCATTTCTGAAAGTGATATGGTTTGTTCAGTCAAATGGTTGAAATGTGAACAGAACTAGTTAGCCATTCAATTTTGAATGATTAATTTTATTATGCTTTGCCTTCCAGGGTTTTTAAGTCTATCATCTTCTGATGTATCTTAATCCTAAACCATCACCTTTTCTGCTTATGATTATGTGCTTTGTTTGCGTTTATCAATCACGTTTTCCCTCAAATTTCCCTTCTTTGGGAAAGTGAAATAAGAGAGTGCCCCTTTAGTACCCTCAACGCGTAGTAGATATGCATGAGGTGCCATGCTAGTTCAGTATTATAAAATTCATGACTTGGTGGCTAGGAAAAATTGTTAGTGAAAAAACAGAGATATCAACTAGCTTTGGTACAGCCTTTTGGCCGTCCTTAAGATCTTGCAAGTTCACTTTTTGGGTCAAATTCCCATGCTTGTAGATGAGATACAAAGATAAAGACATCATCTTTGTTATCTGCCAAAGATTCACGTATCTGTAATGTTAGTGTGCATTCCCTTCTATACCAGTAATTTCTGCAGCCCATGTTTTTGGTCGTGCTTTAAATTTGTGCTTGTAATATTATGCAGGCAAATGAAGATAACACCATGCACTTTATTTTAATCGATGGCACCTGGAGCAATTCAAGTGCCATGTTTAGGCGCTTACAGGTTTAAAAGCATAAATTTTTAGTTACTTTTCGCCATTGCCTTGCACACATGCGCATAAAGAACTTCACTGTCATAATTAACTGGATGACAAGTTTTTCCGTTTGTGTTGGTCTTTGTTTCAAAGTAAGCCAGGGTAAGAAAATTAACCATCAAGGAATGACCTACTCATGCCATCATTTTACATTCTTATGCCTAGTGTCTAAAATGGCTCATCCAGAGTTGAAATTTCAGTAAACTGGTTTTCCATACAGGATCGAGCTGAACTAGAATGGAATAAGGAACTTCGCTGCATAACTTTGAACACGGGTGTATCTTTGATGCATAAACTAAGGTACATAAGTCAAACATCAGCCAAACACCTCATTAAGCTTGTTTACTCAGAGATCTTGTTTCTGTTTGTGCTGTTTCAGACTGTTTTTTATTGTTCCAGTGCTTTCTTCTGCCAAAAAAAAAAAAAGAAAAATTATTGAAGAGTTGACAAATTCTATTTACATGTGATTTTGGAATTTGCGATTAGGCCCCAACCTTCATGGGATAGAACGTGTACAGCAGCTGCAGCAGCAGGTCTCCTTTATGAGCTCCAGCTAATTCGAGAGCTGAGTACCTTTGGCTTGGAGGTGTCAGCTAATTCTGTCGAGCATGCATTGGAGGTGTTATTACAAGCTCTAACTACAAGAAGGCTCCGCATGGGCAGGTCAATTACTCGTAGGGAAAGACACAATACTGATATTTGCTAACCTAAATTTTCTGCTTAGTGAGGAATTGTAATTTTTTTTTTTTCAGCTTCTGCTGGCTTTAAGTAAGGCTTCCAGATGAAATATGATGTTTACTGATTCCTTTGCCCCTTGTCCTTTTCTTTCTTCAACCAACTGATTGAACATTAGAGAACCCAGGGAGAGCAGTTATCTCTTCAGTGAAAGTGTTATACTGTGTTACAGACATCCTAGGCATTTTGCAATGGCTTAGTGAGGGAATTAGTTTATAGTATTGAATGTGGATAATTAATTATATGTATGAATATTGATATATAATCATACACAAGTATGAATGACCAAAAGAAACACAGTTTTTCAAGTTTTCTGATAATCAAGGTATCCGATTTTCGATTCAAATGTGTCATTTGAAAGCTTGGAAAACGAGTTTCTAACAAAGTAAATCTTATGAAAATCCAACGATCAGACTTTGGTTAGTAGCCTTAAAAAAAGTTAACTATTGATCAAAAGTTTTTTAACTACTGATTAATATTCGACCGTTGGATTTTCATAATTTACGTATTAGAAAATTGATCCTGTAAGCTTTCAAATGACACATCCCAATCGAAAATCGGATATCTTGATTATCAGAAAACTTGAATTAAAATTTTTTCTATATACACGTGCTCCTACCATCTTCGTCGATCAATTACAGAGGCATCAATTTTCAGAAATCAACAAACTATACCTCATTTTGTTCGTCTCGCCATAGGTCCTAAATTAATTTTCAAGATCAATTTAAAATTTATCGTTAATTGAGATAAAAACTTTTTGTTTCATATTAGGGTTTTCAATTGAGGAGGCAAATTGCTAGTTTCGATTACTATGAGAGGCAAATTGGGAGGTTAATTTTTTTTCCCCAAATAATAACAATCATAATAATAATAATAATAATAATAATAATAATAATAATAATAATAATAATAAATTGAGCAATTGGAGAAATACTTATGCAATAAACTATGTGACAGACAGACGAACATAATTGGGCAAGTGCATTTCATTATGCGAAAAACTATGCAAAAGACAAACGAAGTTAATTGAGCAAGTGAGAAATAAATATGAGGTAAACTATGTGATAGAGAATCGAAGATAATTGAGCAAGTCCGACCTCATTATGCAATACAATATGCGACAGATAGACGAAGTTAAATGAGGAAGTGCGTAAACATTATGCTATAAGATGTGCGACAGATGGGCGACGATTATGTAGTGAATTGTGTGAACAATTCGGTCAACCGCGAGTTTATCGCAGATCAGCTTCTTGCACCTATTTTTACATTTTTCCAGTTTCTCCTCAATTTTCAACTTTTAGTGTAAGCAGTTTTTATGAGAGAAGCATGGGTTGTAATTGCCGCTTGCGGCTTGCCGAAGTTATCTGTTAACAATCCCCACTATTCTCATATTAGACGAAGGTCATACACCAAGGAACTCCTAGTATTGAATGGTCTCGAGCGGGTGGAAACTGCTAAAAATGTCGTCCTCTTAGGAACGCTATACCAAACCACGTGAAAAAGATTTTCAACATCTTAAATCTAATGGGAACAAAGTTTCTAGGAATGAAAATTCCTAAAGTCATGAGGTGGAGGGTCGTGGGCTGGGCTGAGATCAACAACCGTAGGAACCTAATGAAAAACAATAAAGTCGACGACTTGTATGAACTGATCGAGCATACGCTGATCAAAGACAAGAACCATGAAATTAATACATGAACTTGCGATCACAATGCGGAGGTAGACGTTCTTAATCATGAAAAACAAAAAATACATTCACTTTTTTTTTTTTTTATTGTTATCCATAGTGATAGGGATGTGGATGAAATTTTTTGGACTTCGTTCATTTAGTATTTATACTGATACATAACGTTTCAAGTTGCATCATAATCATTTATATAACATTTATTTATTATTTGTAATATTCATATAGAAACAATTGTTAGATTGACGGGTTTGTCAAAAAATGTAAGTCATTTTTCGTCTGTTTCGCTACGAAAATGCGACACATTTATTATTGTTATTAAAAAAATGCTGGCCTCGAAAAATGCAATTCTTTATATAGTAAATTCAAATTAATAAATTCATATTCTGCAATTAACTACGCAGGATATATGAAGATTTATTTGCAGAATAATTAAATTTATTTGGTTATAATCACAAAAAATATATATGTTTATTAAGACTATACTTGTGCTTGTTGCTCAAAAAAAAATAAAAAAATAATTCAAGCTTAAAAATTTTCAAGCCGGGCTCAAGCATTTGATTTCGAGTCGAGCTCGAGCTATTGTATTTTTTTATCGAGTCAAGCTCAAGTTTTAAAAATCGAGCTTGAATAGCTAAAAAGAAAATCAACCCTAATCGATAAGGCTAATGCTATACTCGGCTCGACTTATTTAGGGGCAGTCTGAGCCACTGCTCTCCTTTTCTTTTCGCGTCATATTTTTGTTTTATTTTTCAAATCTTTCTTCCCATCGGTTTTGGCGAGACGCAGCCACAGTGCTACACTTACCGGGCGGCTTAGCCATCGACACCATCTCTATGCGTTATCTCCCTCTCTTTCCTCCTCTTTCGTTTCTTCTTTAATTTTAAGGCGAAGGCTTAGGCCGCAGTAAAGTTGTTGTTTGTTTTCCGCCTGTGAGCGGCAGCTCCACCCATGAGATGCCTTGGCAACAAGCTAACCCCGACCAAACTTCATATCAGGTGGAGCCTGGCGGGCAGACTTGGGGTGTTACATAAATTCTGATTTAGCTATAATGCATGATGATTTAGGGTTGAATTTTGGGTGTATAATAAAGGACGATTTTCTGCACACCCTTATATCATAAGACTATACTTGTGCTGGTTGCTCATAATTCCATTCATCTTCTGTTGTTCCTTTTGCCATTTGACTAAGTGAGCTGTTGTGTTTTGAAGGTTGATCTGGCAGAGGGAGTTCCACCATTTGTGCACATCAGACAAAATGAATTTTGGGGAATGAAGTGAGTTCTCATTCTTTACATTTCCTGTTTACAATCTTCTGGGATCAATATGCATTGACAGTTTGCTGGCATTTGATGCTGAACAGTTGGTCGGTAATATATCGGTACAATGTTTTGTCCTGTAGCATAGGCTTCATATGGCATAATGTTTGGGACTGAATTAGAGCTTCGGATTCTATAATACCTCTTTAGGATATACTGATTCAACTAAACGATATATTTTTTTTTTTCCATTTTCTGACTAAAAATTCTAAATCATAAAATAAAATTAAAAAAAAATCTATTTTCTGGTCGGTATCTAGCTGGAATATGTCCGACTTCTGTTTCAAATACTAATAGTCAATATTTTGTTTCCTTTATGATGTGGGTGGAATTTCAGTTGGCATTTTAATTCCTACTCGACATTGTTTTACTTTGGTTCATCACATGTTTGATTGAATAGCTTTCTCATAGTAGCATTCTCAATTTTCTCTTCCTCCCTCTCAGACCCAAGAAGTTGAAGGATGAGGATATTGTTGTTTGTGAATGCAAGTATGATCCCTTTAACCCTGAAAGTGCATGTGGGGAAAGCTGTCTGAATGTGCTAACCAACACAGAGTGCACACCAGGATACTGCCCTTGCGGTGAGCACTGCAGTAATCAGGTGAGATGAATTAGCATAGCCTGTTCCATTTTTTACTCTAGTAGAGGATTAACCCCTATGTCAGGGCAATTAAGGTTATTGGGCATACCCTACTGTGAAAAGTGCTCTATTCCTGGGCTGGTCTTACAAATTTGGCAAGAGACAAGGGTAAGAAGTATCGGGCTAAACAATATTTGATTAATCACTTAGGAACATCCACCAACTCATGAACTTAGTAGTAGCCATTCTGAAGCATGTACAACTGGAAGGAAAGTTGTCAAAGAAGCTTGTTTCTTGGCAGCCTCCTCGTCCCTCGACCAACAGTGTTTTGAATGGATATAAAAAAAGTTTCTTTTGTTATACTAAATTTGAGTTTTCTACCTCAGAAAAAAAAG